ATACCCCAGCCTCTTGCAGAAGAGCAGCAGTTAACAAACCATCAAGCAAGGAGCTATCTTACATTCGTGAACATCAAAGAGCACATACCACCACAATTATTGATAGTGCAAAGAGCACATGGTGCTGATGCCTGCACTTCCCATGTGAAAATCAGGATGAAGGATGCAGTAGAGAAACATGCACAGAATAGCAATGCAGAAGTGAGAGCAAGAAAAATTACTCAAGAATTGAAAATTTAAAAAAAAAAAAAAATGTGGCTTCACTTTTTTTCTCAAAGCACAAGCTGAATTAAGAAAGGTTACAATTACTGGAAGATTTCCTTGCAATTACTGCTCCAGAACATACTGCAGCAATTCCATGGATCCTATGTTGTCTGGGAATGGAGGCAATGGGTCAACCAAAAGAATCACATTTTTAGGGAGTCCAAATGGCCAAAGTGGATACAAAAGTTCTCTTGAAATGCTCCTCTAGTGTCTCATCCTCAAGAACGTGTTTCCTAGAAGAAAATATTTGGAGAGTCCCTGTGCATCTCCCTTGGGAATTCTTGTCTTCCCAGCTCAGGATGTTTTTCATCACCTCCCTTCGTATGGTAGAAGGATGAGCTAGGTGTATCCAAAATGTATTTACTGTTACTGGCTTTGTTTTTAGTGGTGATTTTGAAAGCAACGCTGCTCTATGGCCCTGCAGGAGAGAAACCAAGAGAAGCAAGATGGTTTAGGTTACATAGTGAGACTTTTACTTTGTAAAACTGCTTACTGTTTTGGAGTTCTGCATTTTCAGGAAGACAAACAACATGCTCACCTTCAAGTCCCACAGAAAGCAATCGGTCTTCTTTGCAAGCATTACCCTCTTTGAAAGTAGAGATTTAGGTTCTTCGAGACGTTTTCTGAATCTAAGGGGTGTTTTTACTCTGGAGAATAACTGTTTTGTAGGGTCAGTATTGAAGTATACATATTAGGCATAGATTTTCCTGGCAAAACAAGGCCAAAGGAATTTTTCCAGCATGCTCTGAAATGGAATAGCCACATGAAATGGTGGAATTTTACCCACAAAACAACTATTTTGAATAGACTAAGGTTCTGTAAGCTTGCAGGAGATGGCAAGCTCTGATCATCGCGTCCTACCAGACCTTTGAGGGCTTAGGATTTCTTTTCTGAATGGCAATGCAGATTCTGATTTCGTGCTCCTGATCCTTCGATGAGGATTAGAGGCCCCGCCATGGTTCCAACATGCCCCCTACAGAAACTATCTACATGATTGCTCCAGAGCTATACCAGCTCCAGGGCACAATGCAATAGACTGTGCTTTACCTAAGGGCATACACCCACATGCATTCACTTTGACTAAAAAGAAAGAAAAAAAAAAAAAAGGAAGAGGAGGAAGATGCATGGTGGCAATTTCAGGAAGACACAAGCAGATCCATGCAACTACTTGGCAGCAAAATGCACACAACTATGCAGGAAAAATCTCTGCAGAGGTTTCGTGGGGACTTCCCAAGAGAAGGTTTGTAGTACTGAACTCAGTGTTATTAATTTATTGCCTTCCAGGGACTCCAGGTACGTTTACTAGAGGATGTAGAGCTGATTTAGCCTACACTCAGCTTCAATCCTGGGCAAAGGGGCTCCCGGGGAATTTATTTTTAATGCAATAAAATAAAAACTTGCAGCTGCGGTCAGGAGAAACTGTGGGCTGCTGCTCACCAGTGCAGGTGCCAGCTTCCCCATTCCAGCTCCTTTTAGTGGGGAAAGCACATGTTAAGGACTTGAGGCGTTTCTCCCCTCCCAGTTTAATGTCAGCCTCTCGTAGAGGTTTTCATGGTAGGTTGGTGAGGTGACTCACATCTCATGTCTTGCTTTCACCCTCCCTCTTCCGCACTGCTGAACTCTCCTCCCTCTCTTAAAATACAACCTTCCCAGCCACAGCGTCCCACTAGCTTCGGCTCCGTCAGGTTATTCCTCCGTTTAAGAAAAAAAAAAGGCTTGTGTCCAGATATTCAATTGGCATCTCTCTCTCCAAAAAAATAATTAAGCACAGAGACGGGAAATGGCTCAATCCAAAGCACACAGGCAGCGTCCCCTCGGGCTGGGGCTTGGGGAGGCGCGCAGAGGCCCCGGCGAGGCTCCCACCTGCCTCCTGGAGCAGCRCAGCCACCTTGGATCCACTGCCTGAAACACTCGGTAACAGAGCACGGGGCGGCCAGGGAGCCTCCGCAAGCCCCATGCGCGATGGCTTGAAGGGCAATAGGATGGTGAGAGCCATGGTGTGGCCCGTCCCGGCCCCCCGGCCGTGCTGGTGGTGCCCCACACACCCTTGTTGCATCAAAGGAAGACCATGTTTGGGTGCTTGCTCTGACAGGGGACCTAGTAAGAGCCACACGCTGTGGCAAGGCCATTGATCAAATTCCTCAGAATTGGTCTAATTTGGGTCGCTCGGGGGCAGGCATTGCCAGGGGCACGATGTATTCGTATTTTCTGTTGCCTTGAAGCGTGTTTTGAGGAAATTAGCCTCATTACAGAGGCATCCTCTCTGTACCACAGCACATACAAGGGCTGCGTTGTAGGCAGGGAGGAGAGCACGTGCTGGGCTCATGTGCAGGCAGCGAGCGGCAGGAGGAGCAGGGCCCACAGCCGGGAGCTGCCCAGGGAAAAGGGCACAAGGAGGGGACTCCTCAGCATTTACCGCGCTCGCTCCTTCCCGTGGTACAGCGGCCACAAGCTGCTCCTCTCTGCGCAGCGGCCCCGTTCCCCCACAACGGAGACGAGGGGTGTTCGCAAGGAAGCGACCGTATCTCTCGCAGGCAGGGAAGACAGCAGACACAAGTCAATAGAAAAAAATAACTTCTTTTTATTTACAAAAAAAAAAAAAAAAAGAATCCAAATATTGGATGCTGTAAACAAAATTCACAATCTGTTCCCTCTAGAGCCAGTTTTCCGACAGCTCTTTTTCTGCCTGTGACAAAGCCCATAGTTAAAATGTTCTAAAAGAGCAACCCAAGGAGCAGTTTGCTGCAACAGGATGCCTTGCAGAAGGCAACAGTTGTAAGGAAATTTGAGGGAAAGCAAATCTGCACAGACTCCTACAGGCTGCAGAAGCTTTGCAGTGCTTTAGCCAAGCCATCTTGAAATTTGCAGGCTTTTTTTTTTTTTTTTTTTTTACTATTTATTTTGTTAGCAAACCATTATTACAACAGCAAAACAGTACACTGATTTCCTTTCTTGCAAGGGAATCTCTCTGCTTAAAGAAAACCATACAAAAGTGTATATTCAAATAGGAGCTGAGTATGCAATTACATCTTGTCCTTTGCTGTGCAGTTTTATCTAACACACTTCATTTTCCATGTTAAAACAAAAAAAAATAAAATAAAAGAAAAAAGCTTTTTTTGAACTAGTAAACTGGTAGGAGCCTATGATATGATGCAGACCAAGCATTTAACAGGAGGTATTTACAAGAGTTGTGTGAAGGCTTTTGTGCAAGATAAAACAACAACAAMAAAAAATACATTTTAAGTATAATATGAAAAAGTACAGAAATATGATCATTTTGGTGCTATAACGGCTCTTCTATCTTCAGAAGAAATTTTCTTCCATTTTGGGGGATAGCTCCRTCTCAGGAAAAAGAAAAAATCCATTTCAAAGCTCTCGCTTGTTTCATGATAGCTACATTGAACCAAGTTGAGCTCCCTGTTGGTTAGCAATAAATTCAGCTGTGGCACAAACAGTTTTAGTGTAATCAGGTCAAAGTTTTTTAATCAGCCCAGCTCTTTAAAAGGGGCACTGTCTCCCGTAGCAAGTTCTAACCTTACATCTGATTGGATGGGGAAAAAAAACGAAGTCTACAAAGCAAGAATGCGGTTGTTAACTTTCAAAGTACCAGTGTGCTCAAGAGGAGGTGAAAAGCAGTTTACAAAAAGTCAGCCTTCACTGAGGGGAAGGTGTGCAAAACCACAGAAACAAGCCAGCTTTGAGAAAGGGGTTCTTATTTTACTCTTGGCCTGAGCTCATGCTTTCTTCCCACCGCGAACATCAGGAACCTTTTAAACTAGCGGTCAAAGATAAAGCAAAGCCCTACCAAGTTCCATCACTCGATCATTAACATATGCAAAACAGATCCAAAATACCTATATAATACATATAAAAACATATTATATATGTATCAAAAGGCGAACGCTGAAACTTGCGGTTTAGCTCAGAGCCCTGTTGCATGCACTAATAGGATAACTAGCTGCTGTCAATCATAAAAAAAAACACAGTAAAATTTGAGCTGAAAGGAAATAAAATCAAAACTTGCTTTTAAGCAACAGAAGTAAAAAAGGTCCTTCAAAGGAAAAAAAATATATTGTGTCATTTATTATCAGCATTTTGTGGTTGTGGCACAGCTATAGATTCTCAAACCCTTTTAAACAGCGGATGAGTCATTTATTTGCTGCAAATAGTTGTGGTGGCAGAAGACATACCACATTACCAGCTGATCCTATTTCCCCAGCCCTCCCCTTGGCTTCCATTCGAAGCCCTCCGAGGAGCTGCGGGCCAGCGCGCCGCCGTGACAGGCGCGCTTCCCTCTGGATCTATCCCGGGTTTCGCCGTTCCCGGGAAAGGGGCATCCCGCATCAGGTGCCGCAGGAAGGGAGGTGGGGACAAGGTCTCTGGGCACACAGCGCCACAGGCAATGAAACAGCTTGCTTTTTTTTTTTTTTTTTTTTTATGGTTCCCGGAGCATTTGCGGGGAAGGCGCTTCAGTAAACACGCCGGGTTCCTGTTAAATTGCCCTCGGAGATAAAAAGTACAAAGCATGACAAAAATAGATGTACCCTGGTTGCTCTGCAGGGAAAACGGAGGGCCGGGAGACGAGCTCTGTCCCTYGCCCTCTTCCCCTGCCTTCTCAAACACACCGCTGTGCCTGCAACCACATAGGTCGCATCGCCTTTCCCTTCCAAAGCCTCAATTCATCCCCCTTTCCTTTTGCTTTTAATCTTTTTTCCTCTTTTCCGTAAGAAAAAAAGCAAAATATTATACTCAAGTGTCGTTTAGTCACTAGGTTTTCAAAGCCCAACAAAGAATTTAACACTTTCAGAGGTGTCACTGAAGTGAAAACAGCAGAAGTCGATTCTCCTCCTACTGATCTTTTGGGAGAGGAAATGAAAGTGAATAGTTATTGTTCCAATGCAAAGTGAATCCATTTAAATAAAGTACAGTACTGAAATTGTAAATGCAGTGTGACAATCAGATCAAAGATGTTTAATATTTGCATAAAAATATATATATATAATATATATATATTTATAAAATATAATTTTAAGCAATCGTGCAACACTCTTAAAAAGGGTTCATTTCACATTTACTAAATTCTAGTGGTCCTGGAATGCATAACGCATTCTATTAAAATATTCCTTTAAATATTAACAATTAGTGTTCAAATCACCAACTAATACAATATCCTTTAGCTGTCAGGGGGTTTAAATAAACCTATCTTTGATCCACGTTCCACTGAATTGTACATCATGGAGGTATGCAGTCACAACATTAGTGGGTTAAACGTCAAGATGGCATTACAGTACAAAATAGTTTTTAAAAAATTAGCTAGTCATATGTTTCTCCATTTGTGGAATTATTATGGCTCACAAGCAACCCACTGAATTACTGTAATCCTTGTTCTTGCAACCAAAGACATTATCCGAATCCCACCTTAATCCTGACCGGTTCATCTCCTCCAATTTTTTTCAGGTGTGGGTTAAAAAAATTCACTGCAAGGTACCCACTATCCTATGACATCCTGTTGCAAACTGGAAAACACATAGTACTTTATTTAAACATTCCTCAGTTGCTACATTTTTTTCCTAGACCATATTAATATATATTGTGTGTGTATATATATAGATATACACATATAACATGTACATATATACACACACAAACATATATACACACACGCACACACGTACCTAGGATAACATCACACTGACGTAACATTAACTCTATACAAGTATTTGCCAAGAAAAAAAATAGGGCATTTCCTCCACCACTTATTCACAAGCTTATGTTAATTGTTTTTAATCCTTGTGTCCCTGATAAAACAAAATGCATGGTTAAACCACAAAACTATATTTTCTCACTTCAAATTTTATGAAGGCATCAGGCACTTTTGATTACTATTGGTGTGTACAAATATAGTAACATCTTTTTTCTTTTACATATATATATATGTATATATATATACTCTACTGTATCGTCTTTGCTTGGATAATTTATCTGCAAAATCTTTGGTCCTCATGAATATGTTGTTTGCCACAGCTGTTTCTCTTGCATTCTCACATTTCTAAAATGTGAGGCATGCACACAGCTGGAAATGATGGACTTTGTCATCATACGCGCTTCTGTTTTTATAACTGTACCAATCTACTACTGTTCATTTGGAGCAAGCTGTTTCTGTTAAAGCATTTCTATTCAAGCAAGCTATACATTCTGCAGGATCATTCCATAGGTTGCACTTGCTGCAAGCCCCAAATGCAGTAATTCCAATATACATCTTTATTCAGCTTATCTCTTCTTTACGTCTCTACTTTTAATTCCTGAATATATAGAGAATTTTTTGTTTTTTTTTTCATTTTTGTTGTTTTTTTTTGTTTCTTTCATATTCTCCCTTTTGCAGATCCCATTCTAAAGAATAAAATTTAAGAAAAAAAAAAAAAGGAAAATAAGGCTTTCCCACCTTCTCTATGCCAAAGCTATGGGAGCAGGTATTGCCACCCCATATTGTCATCAAGCATTCCTCCCTCGCTTCTTTCAGGGGAAGCTGTTTGCTTTTAATGACAGGCCTCTTGTGCTCTGGGCTAGGATCCAATTATTTGGGGGTTCCTTCAAGATCGTGCTCCCTTTATTTACTAGGAGAACCACAAGCTTTTTACCAAGCCCGCAAGCCAGAGTGGATCGTCACTGCACAAAACACCCCGTTTCAGAGGGGCACCGCGGCCCCATCCCACACGTTAAGGATCGTTCTCCCCACCAGCTCTGCTAATCGCGGTCCTTAATTACAGGGCAGCCAGGTAGAGTACGTGTGCTGCTGGCAAGGGAACACCGTCTGCACCTGGGCAATGTAGTAATTGCTGAAGTTGGCATCTGCTACGTACGGGGCCGGCTGGTAATAGCAGGTGACATTGGCCACGTTGGGGATGATGTTTTGCTCGGCCAGCACCCGGATGGCCAGCATGGTGATCAGATTAAGAGTCTGTCTCCTCTCATGSCCCATGAGGCACACGGTGCTCTCATTCACCACGCCGTGAAGGGTCATGAGATAGTCATACTTGCGGTCCTCTAATCCCACAAAGTGGTTCTGCAAGTAGGACTCCAGCTTTCTCTGCTGCTCCCCAATGTCCGAGAAGTCAATGAAGAACCTGGAGCACATGTATCTCTGCAGGGACTTAATCTCGGATTCAGAGGCGGCCCTAAAGCCCCTTACCAAGAGGTTGCAGTACTTAAGCAGACCACCTCCTCGGATCTCTTCTGGGTTTCTGGTGGCGATTATCTTGTTGCAGAGGTGATCAAAGGCTTCCTGGAAATCCCCATAGACGCTCTCGCCAATGATGGTCGGGTGAAAAGTTTCAGTCATCGGGTTCTCTGAGCACTCATAAAAAAGCAGCAGGGAGTCTAGCTTGATTTGAAAGGAATCGACACTGAATTCAAACTGCCGCCTCAGAGAGTCCACGAATTTCAGCTCCACGTTTTTGCCACTGTTGTTGGACAAGGAGATGAGACTCCACCGGTCCGAATCATTGCAGACTTTCACCATTTTCTGCACATACGCTTCCTACAATCGGAAGGACAAGGTGAGCAAAGGGAGACAGGAGCGCAAGGGATTTTCCCTGTCGCAGTGTCCGCCCGCGCTCTGCCCCACCRCACCCCCTGCCCGAGCGTTTCACGAGGGACCCTCAGGAGCCTCCGCCGCAAACCTAAGGAAGAGATATTTGATGCACGAGTTCGGAGCCAGGTTATCGCACGGGAGTGACAGGGCGGGACGGTCTTCGGCCGCGTCGTGCAAGGGAAGTATTTTGCAACGCTGCTTCTTTCAAGCGCTGCTAAATATATCCCTGCACAAGACCGCCGGCACACCCACCGGGATCCATGCACTAACACACAGAAGGTCACTCACTGCCAAAGCAAGATAAGAAATCCTTTTTTTTTTTCTTTTTTTTTTTTCCTCCTCTCCTTTTTACATTGTTTTTCACCACTCTCCTGTTCCCTCACAGGAGAATCGGTTCTGCAAAGCGTTTGCCCTCTGTCCTCAGCCTCTGCTCTTTCGGGGCAGGTTCTGCAAATCCACCCCACATCCAAAAATAAAGAAGGAAATAAAGAAAAACCAAACAAACAACAAAAAAAAAAAACCCAAAACCCACGCAGTCCCAAAGGCATTTGGCATCCAGCTTAACTCACTCCAGTGACCTGTCTAGGAGGGCAGGGACTGCGCCCGGGCGCCGGGGCACCTGCCCCACGAGGAAGCCTTGGCTGCAGGAGACAATTCCCGTGTGGGCAGCGGGGCCCTAGGGACAGCGAGGGGGGTCTCTCCTGCACCTCCATGCGAGCTCCCCACAAGCGTGCGCGGGGGGGACCCCCACAAGCGCGGCGGTACCTTGAGCGTGAGCGGCGTGATCTTCTCCTTGTTGACGCCCTCGGGCAAGAAATCCAAGAGGCAGTCCAAGACCACGTCCTTGACGGTCTGGAACTCGGCCTCGCCTTTGAGGTCGGCGCAGAAGATGAGGTCGAGGTCCTTGTAGCCGAGGCCGCTGTGCTGGTGCAGGACGTGGCTGGCGGCGGAGCCGTTGAGGCGCACGTCGCGCACGCCGATGCCGCGCAGCGCCAGCCGCCTCCGCACCACCTTGACGATGCGGCGCGGCTGCATGGCGAGCGTGGGGAAGTTGCCGCGGCCGTGGATGGGGATGGTCTCGCCCAGGATGCGGTCCAGCCGCTGCACTTGCTCCCAGCTCAGCACGTTGCAGTGCGCGCTCTCGCCGCAGCCCGCGCAGCTCCCGCCGTCCTCGGCCATGGCCCCCGCGCGGCGCGGCGCTCGAGGGGGACGGCGAAGCGGCGCTCGGCGCACAAACGGGGGGCAGGAGCCGCGCGCCCGCGTGCGG